AAAACTAGGATAGAATATAGTTATATTACATACACATGTAGAGTTACTGGATAGAACCTTAATTGGCCATATATTCATGATTGGAATGGTAGGGAGAGTACTGAAATAATTTGCCAGCTGCCATTGTGCACCATCGCATTTTCCACTTTGCTGGTCAGTGGCATCTCTCAGCAGATCCCCTGTGACTGTCAGTGTGCACAGTTTTAAGAGCCCACCTTTTTTATAAGGGATATCTCTATGTTTGTTTTCAACTTCTCTGTCTATGAGCACCAGTGGGGTGAGGAGAGATGTGAGGGGTGTGGAGGAGGATGGTGCTCAGCATTGCTTTGCCCGCTGCCCTTCCCAGGTGACTCCTACCAGCATCCATAGGTCGAGTACAGCCCCTGTGCACAGATGAGCTGATGGGTAGTTTGAACTGATGTGAGCAGGGAGTAAACTCTTATCTTACCTGCTCCTGTTCAAGTGAGGGCTGCCACACTGTTTATACGAGACTGCCTTGACTCCTAAGTTCCAGTGACAGCACTAATTAATAATTTAAATCCTTCATCTCTCATGAAACTCTTTGATATTCTGTTTTTTCAGCCCTAGTAAATGCCAGCATTATGAAGTATGTTTAATCCACTGGCTTCTACTAAGACAAGGTAACTTTTGTCTAGGATGAGGTTAAAAGATGGTGGGATTCAAAAAGAGAAATTTAGGGCCTGTGTTAGTCCCTTGAGAATTTACGTGATAGGGCTTTAGCAGGACTGGGAGTGGCTTTTGTAAACTAGAAAGGCAAATTCTTTTTAGTAAGAAAAATATAGTTTAAACCATGTTTACACTGAGCTGTCTTTTATGTTAATGATTAAAAGAAGTGTTCCCCTCAATGTGGAATTAGTTATTCGCTAGTAGAATAATCAGAGGTGACTAAACCTACAGTGAATGTGCCTCTGTCATGTTTCTTCAAAGGAAATTTCTGGCAGAGCCTGATTTCATTAGGCCCCCATAGTCTGTTTGGAGTTTTAGGTGTCTGTTTATGACACCTAAAATTAATATCAATACAGAGTAGATGTAATTAGATATTCTCAAGGTTTGATCATAAAACTTTGAGATTTTCCTGTAAATGAATATTTTACAATTGAGAGTTATTTTTCTTCATAAGAACTAGTTTCTTGAAATTTGTATCACAATATAGAGCATCATCCCAATACCATCTACTGATTTTTCTTTACAGTAACACTTGCTCAAATTATGAGCTCAACCTCAACTCCAGCCAGTGGTAAAATTCAGTAATAAATAAACAGATTGAAATCAGAATTGACAGATTTTATGTTAATTGACTCTTTTAAATGTGTATATTTAGAACATTTATGTCATCTAAATATATCTGAAGAACTTGAGAAAATAGTGTTATTGTACTGTTTTCTTCTCTATGTGGCACCATCAGCATTATCCCCAGTGAAGCCAGTTAAATCATCATTTACTTTATATTCATCAGTATTATATGTTCTTAATGATGCATTAAAGCATTAAATAATTCCAATTTTCTCTACTTTCTCATAAAGGGTCATTTTTAATAAATGTATTTATTTTGGTAGTGCTGATATATGCTGGTTTAGAAAATTCAGAATGAAACATTATATTAACATTTTTTGTAATATCTGGCTCATTTGTATTTTTTATAATATGTAGACTTTTACTTCCTGCTGCATAAAGCAATTAGGACTAATTTTTCTTTTGCCTACATTGCATATATAGTCGGAAATTTATTAGAAAATTATATAATGTTAAAATGAGGAATTTCCATAAATTGGAAAGCTGTCCATCAGCTGCAGGTGTTTTGCCTAAACTAAAGTAGTTTTGCGTGATAATTAGAGAGGCTTTAGGACTTCTGTACTTTCTCTGAAGGTTTTTCAATGAGAAAGAGAAAGCGAGTTAGTTTAGGCGGGAAGATGGCTTAGAAAATAGGAATTCTTTAGTCAATATTGTCCTTAATAGAAACTAATGAGGCAGTTGACAGGATGAGCATAAGATGATAAGTGTAATCTTTGACACAGTGACGTGTATTGTTTTGAGAAGGTGTGAAATTGTTTGCTTTGGACAGTGAGTAATAGAGGTGGTTTAATGAATCCTAGATGTTAAAAAAGTCAGTTGTGTTGCCTTTTCACTGTCTAAAAGGCAGTCTGCTTGTCAGTTTTTTACTTGTATTTGAAAATAATGAAAATGCTGAGCATGCTTTGAAAGTTGTGGAAGACAAATGTAAAGCAGTATCTGGAAGGAGTTCTGTTAACCTTATCTGATCACTTGTGAAGTCTGCAGAGACAGGTATTGATAGGTTGCAGAGGTAATTTTACCCAGGTTTCCTTTTTTTTGGTGTTGTTTCTAAGGAAATTATCATATTATTTTGACATGGCATCAGAAGTTTCAGAGTGCAATTTCCTGACATGGCTGGCTTGATCCCATGACACATTTCTTATCAAAAGGTGGACCCAGTTCTTATGTATTTGTTGGTGGATTTTTTTGTTTTTCATGCCTTTATAATTAAAAAAAATATGATATAATTCTCATTGGAAGGGCCAGTCTTCTCCTATTTAAGCTGTCTAAGCAGTGTCATTGTAAAGTCCAGCAGAAATGAGAGCAAATACAAGGCAGTGTCAAGAGTGTGTGGCAAGGATTAAGCAGGAGAAACCTATACTGTGAGACAGCCCTTAGCTCATCTTTTCAGCATCATCTAACTGCATCCTGAGATTGCATCAGTGGGAGGATAATTAAAGGATGTGAATAAACACCCTATCTCTTTAATTGATACTTCATGATCTCTCACATTTTGTATTCTCCTGTTTATAGAAAATTAAATGAAAAAAAAAATATTTTAATGACCGGGTAGTTAATGAGAATAAAGAGGCTTGTATTATGGAAATTATAGATTGGTATGTTGGAGATAAATTGCATTAAAGAGGAGAATGAAATCCCAGAGGAACACTACTTGACATTAGTTTGATTATTTTGATAGTACTAAGAGTTGCCATGATGTCTGTCAAGATGATGACAGGTACTAATGACAAAGGGGCAATGATAATGAAAAAGCACAGCACAACTGCTGTGTTTAATTGTGAATTCTTTGAAATTGGTTCCATACTATTGCCATTTGTGTTATATATTGCTCTTCATGAACCAGTGGAACGTAGAACTTCAGATTTGAAAGAACATAAGCTACACAATGCTGCACGTTTTCTGTCCTTCTCTATGAAGAGACTCCATATCCCTGTTTCCTTAATGCCTCTTTGATCTGTTTTTTTCATTGTATTTTGCATTGCCTTCTCTGAACACAGCATCTGTCCTGGTCTTTATCTGCCAAATGATCTTACTTTTCTTACTTAAATTCCTCCTGCAGTTAGTTCATCTGTTGCAAAATACTCAATTTTTTCAGATATCTAAGTAACATGTATATGATAGGTAGGGTGGTGGATTGACAGAGGAATTGAAAACGACACATGTTTAAGAACTGCATGTCTGTCATCAGTCCGTCTGCTTTTAACATGGTTCATTCTCCTGTCTGAGCATGACACATGAAGTTACTTGAGGCAAGGCTTATCTTTTTCTGATGCCGTAAGTCCTGTTTGAATCCAAATAAAAAAATATGTAGGGTAATTTTAAGGAGAAATCCAGGACAGTTAAGCTGATAATTTCCTTTCAACAGTGACTAGTGGCATGAGACTTGAACTGGTGCCAGCCTGAATATTATGAGTAATTGGAAGGTGATGAGTAAACCATCTTTTGATAACCAGGGTTACTTAACTTGCTCAGACTCATTGTGTTCTATATAGGGCTAATGAGTTTTTGGTAATTATGAAAGAGGAATAATCAGAAGAAACAAGACAGTAGCCATCCATCACTGAACTCATAGAACTGCAAAAATTAAAAGCCCGAGGGAGAAGATGAATTCAGAGTTGGTGGTTTCCATATCACCTTGCTTTGAAAATATAATACCATCCCTCTTGTAGTACAGTAGAGAATTGCCTCCATGACTACAGGAGTGTAAAGGTTCCTATGTGTCCTTGAGCTTTGTGGCTGTAAAGGCTAATTTGCTTTTACAGAAATAAATCTTAATTATAATAACAACAATAATTTTTTTAAACTGTAATATATCTTTTTGGTAATTTATCCTCACCATTGCTTGTCGTACATGGGGACAAAAGTCTCATGGTATGAGTTGGTTCTTGAAGAGGGTTATGGATATCAGCTTTGTTCCATTTTTGTGAGCTTTTATTTGGATAAACTGAACCAACTGGATTTTTTTGCAAGACCTGGAATGTAATTCATGTGTGGTGAAATTTTGAATGCTAAAAATGAAACAAGACAAATAGATTTTACACTAAAATGACCTGTTAAGAACTTTTGTCTCTAGGAGCACAAAATATTTTTAAACATACAAATGAGAGTTATTATAACCTAAAAGTAGCCTGGGCCATGTAGTCTAGAATATGCCTCAGGGGCAATCCTGCCCTAGTGGGAAATGGCAGAATGACCTAAAAATTATTTCATTACACAAACTTTGTTACTTTTTGAAGGCTATAATAATGTGTATCATGCAGTGGAAGGAGGTAATCAGTGTAAATCTGGATATACTGCATGTGAAGTGATTGATAAAAATCATATGCCTTTGTCTTTGAACAGTTTGATCAAATAATGAACAGTATTTTATAATGAAATTTTAAAATGTGTTACTTCTTAACGAAGCTTCAGTAACAAAGCTGTGGTAAAAAGGAAACAGACTGACTCACAGAAAACTAAGATAATTTATTGGATTGCATCTGAGTGTGCAAATATAAAGTTGACATTATGGAAGCTATGAAGTGCTTCTTAGAGTGCTGTAGATGAATCACTGGCATTGACAGAAAAAAGTTGAGTAAGTACTATCCTGCTATGATAGGAAATAAGTTCTATTATAAGAAATACTGTGTCTACTATAATTTTGGTTTTTCAAAATTTCTCCTTCCTCTCCCCTCTTTCCCTTTCAGGGTAAATGGGAAGCTGGTGGCATTGAAGGTGATTAGATTACAAGAAGAGGAAGGAACCCCATTTACTGCTATCAGGGAAGGTATGCACTCACATTTAGTGATTATATATGTGTTTTTTGGTTTGGTTTTTTTTTTTTTTTTTTTTTTTTTGTAATTGCATTGTGCTTCTTATTTCTGTGCCATGCTGTAGTGAATAGCTTGAGAATTTAAATTACATGGTTACGTTCTCAGTAGGAAGAAACTTCGGTGCTTCAAAAACAAAGCCTCTGGTGTGGGAGTTCTTGTTAAAGAATGCAACTCCGCCTGTGCTTTGGCTCCTGTTAGATTTACTATACCCCGAGTACTGGAGAGCATGTTTAAGGTGGGTGTGAGAAGCCACTCAGGAAGATGAGGGAGCTGTGTAAGATGTGCTTCTCACCCGCAGGCAGCACCTAGGATGAAGGTAGATGTGTTTTTTCAGATATATATGCAGCATGAAGCAATGACAAGCATTTCATGATAAAGGCAATCAAAAGATCATGGAGCAAAACTGCAGGCACTTTTGAAGCTCTGTGTAGTTTGCAACTAGTTTTTTCCTACCCCATGGACTCTAAGTTGTGTGGCCTGGGAATGATTCTTATCTATTGTGCTTGAAGATGCCTGTTAAGCTTTCTCTCCACTCCTTTATCCTTCCTTGTCAGCCTCTCCTGGTCCCTAGTGATGGCTGCTTTATCTGAGTCTGTCTGTATCGAACTCCTTTGCAGAAATTGCTGCATATGCCTTCTGTGTGTGGTCCTTGTCTCTTAGAAGGTGCTAAAAATGAGCCTTGGTAGAGAAATAATAAACAATTTACCATCACAGCACTGATTCAGACTCAGCTGAAATTGGTAATGAACTAAAGAGATGAAACTCTTACAACTTTGAGGGAGCTCTTAAAATTGTGGTATCAACCTAATTCCCAGGGTGAGATGAGCCAGCAAAGTACTAGAACATCAGCCCTCACAGGGTCCACAGTTGCCCCTCCATGTGAGATGTGTGGCTTCATGATCATGAGAGCCCACACACAGCAGCTGTAGCTCCCCTGTGCCTTGCTCTTGCAGCCATCTGTCTGCTGTATGTCTGTCTGTACAATGAGCAATGAGCCCTTTCTGGAGTGGGCTGGGGAAAATAACCCCATGTTTCATGTGGTTGACACCCTGAATTAGAAGTCGCTTAACTACTGTGGATTTCCATCCCCAAGACTGTGCATTTTAAAGGTGGCTCTTTCACAAAGGAGGGAAACTGTGGGTGGCCAGTTTATGAAGGAATTTCCACAGTTCTTCTCTACTGATTGAATGATCTGACACATTTATTCATAACAATATCTATTTTATGTGTGAGCTGTCTGTCCCTGCAGCTGTGCTGTGATAACGAGGTGTGCAGAGGGTTATGGGTGAGGCTTTCAATATATGTGATGCTGAGTTCAAGTTATAACAATCTGTTATAACAGTTTCAAATATGCTTATTGTTCTTCAGGTTTATAGTTGGTATGGTACTGACTTAATGAGAGAATAGTAAATATGGCTTTCTTGTGCCTTTTTAGTGACACTTAAAAGGTTTTTTAATGTGAGCTTGGTCTAGATGAAAGTTTATGGCACTGTAGCTGTCAAATGCAGTTTAGTCCCTTTTCCTTCATAAATAGTGTGTTATGTGAGCTCAGTATACAGAAGTATTCATTAGGAACAAGAACAGGGATTTTTCCCACTTGATATATTAAAAAAATTATTAAGGCACACTTGCATGAAAATACTTCTTACACTGTCATTGGAAACTTTTCTTTTTAGCTGTGACTACAATCAATACTTCAACCAATACTGTGGTTGAAGCCTGTTAAAACCGTGGTGCTTTAATATTAGTAGAATAAAGGTCTTGTCTAGAAAAGCTCTTGAAGTTAATAATTAATACCAATTTAACTGGGTGGTGTCTCAATGATTATGACAGGACTGTGTGCATCCATTATATTTTTAAGTCTTCATCTAAGCTGAGACTAGATCCAAAGAGTATAAGAATAATAATCAATTTTTTTCTCCACTCTTTTAGACTCTTGGTTAGGTGGGTTCACATTAGGTTGTTTATGAAACATTTTTCTGGTTAAGTACAAAGTTGTATGTTTTATGTCATGTAGACGTCACACATACCTGATAAGTAAGATGGGAAGGGGAAAACTCTATATTTATTTAGGCTTTGACTTTTCTGTTGTTGGTTTTGATTTTGTCAGAAACAAATATTAGGACCAGAAAAGTAAGGAAAGCTGTATTACAAATGTAATGTTCAGAAGGTGACCTCAGTGATGTTGTGCAGGCCTGTAGAATTTGATAGGAACGCTACAGCCACTACAGCCATGGGCTTCACTAGCAGGAGCTTAGGAAGCTGTTCCTTTCCTCTTGGCAGCATCTAGTCCATCTTGGACATGTTGAGTTCTGTAATGCCTCCATGGCTGCTGTCAGCTACAAGGGGTGGGGAGAAAAAAAAGAAAAAAAAAAAAAAAAAAGCTTCTATGAGCTCTTGAAATTATCTGATAAGTTTGATACGGAAAAGCAGTAAGAATGGGACACTGTGGTAAGCAGTTTTCTCTTGATCTTTGATGACTAACTAAGGGCTCCAGTGCCATAATTTAGGCTGGGACAACTAGAACAAGGACAAATACCACTGAAGATGAGATCAACTTCTAATTTCAGTTATCTGAGGAATAGTGTTCCCCTGATGGAAAAATGCATATATGATGATATGAGCTAGAGGTCTATTGCAGGGCATTTCTTTCCAAACTCTTTCATAATGGAGAAACCAGGCAGATTTCATCTTAGCTTGCTCCTTATTTTCTAATTTTCCAGCAGTGCAAGGCAAATTCAGACAGAAGTCTAGTTATCTGCAAATTAAAACTACTGTTAGAAAACTGTTTACCATTTCTAATGGCTCCTTGAGTAAAGCAGTGAGAGAAAACAGCATTTCTACTCTGTGCTCCTGAGGGGGATGCTGTGTGATGTTAATTTGGGGGAAGTTACAGGCTGAAATTCTAAGCAGTGGTGATGCTGAGGGAATGTTGTAGCTGCCTGTGTACAGGGAAGCATATTGTTACTGTTGTGACAGCAGCAGAATGAAGCTCAAAGTAATAGAAAGCCACAAAGGAAAAAGACGAAAAGAAGTGGGAAAATGAAGGAGACAAATATGGAATGTGTGACTGTAGAGACAAGCACTAACTTGGTTGAAACAGTAAGTGGAAGGAAAAGTGAAAAAAACCCCTCCAACTGAACAAAAAATCCAGTAAAGCTGTGTAAGGAAAATCATAGTTAATTTTAAGGCCTAGGAGAGCTTTTGCTGAAGCTTGCATTAAAGCTTATAAAGTAAGTCTGCTTTTACAGCAGATAGGGGTTTGTGTCTTCTACCATCAAAGTTATATAGGTTTAAATGAAAATAGGTGAATGTGGCATATTTATTGGTGCAGTTCAGCTCACTATTGAATTTCTAGAACAAAATTTAGAAGTGGCCTGTGCTAAATGTTCTTTCAACTTGGCCTGAGTTAGATGTACCAACTTATTGTATGCAGTTTATAGGACGTTCCTCTCTGAATTTAATTCACTTAGTCTGAGATAATTTAATTTACTTTTGAAGAGTCCAAGGTAAAAAAAAAGAAGGAAAAAACAAGAAAAAAGCATAACAGATTTGGTGTATATACTTGAGTGGGATAAATCTATGAGATTTTCTGATAACATTTATGTGCATGATTCAGGCCACCATATTACTGTTGTGGGCTAAGTGTGCCTGGAACAGTGATATCTGAGACACTCTGGAGTCTGAAAGTCATTTACATCCTATTTTCTCATTTAAAATAAATTTAGTAGTAAAGATCAGCAAATTATTTGTTTACTGTGTTAGTGCAGTTGTGGTTTGTACTTTTACTGTAATGTTCATTATCAACTGTTCAGAGATGGTTCAGCATCAGACTTGAAGTATTATTAAACCCATGGCAGCCAGGAGAAAGGTTCACTGACCTTAACTTTTATCTCAGATATTTCATTCTCTTAATTTCCTGTAGAATCATATATTCACCTAGGCTAAATACTGAACTGTGTGGTAAATTCTAATTCTGGAAGCAGATTGATTTACAGTTCTGTAGTTATCTTTTTTTCATTCTGGATAATAATATTGCTTATATCCAGCATGACAAAGATTTTGCTTTTTGGATACATATATAGACAAATATCTCTTGCCTTTATCAGCACCTTGCTTCTGAGGTTAACTTGTTTACTGTGTTCTTTTCTTGGGTAACAAAATTCTTTCTTCCCCATCCCAATCATGAAAACTTTTTCTCAATTGTTTTTAATTTTCCACCCTTGAAAATATTGCCATTTACTATAGCAATAAAACTCTATTCCAGGATTTTAGTATATTGAAATGTTTCATTTCCAGTAGGTCTAGATGGTGTTTCAAAGCATCATCCAGTTTTGTAGCTATTTTTGTACTCTGTCATTTAAATGCCATGATTGGGCAACTTTCAGTTTGGTTTTCTTTTTATTAATTACTGTATTTGTATGTTGTATTTTATATGTATTTGTACCAATTTGTGTGTCACATTTAAAGGCACTCATGTGACAGGGTTTACATCTTTGATTTGACAGTTTCTCAGATACTACTTTTCCATCTACTTCAATGTGAAAGGCTGTGGGCTTAATGCCACGAATGGATAGCACCATGCAGAAATACAAACAAGTGCTCTGGAAGCATCTGCTGTTTTGCATTATAAAATTAAAAAGAACACAGGAATTGCTTAATGATTATTTTTTAATTTTGAAAGAACAGTTTATCATGCATATTGAATAATTTTATTTTGTGAGCTGGGGGAGAACACTTAGTACATCTGTGTGCCAATATAAAGCATGGAAAAGAGATGCTTAACTCTTGACCACAGAACATCTTCGGAAGTCTTCAAAGTTTTGAGCCTTTGCATCCTTATCTCATGGTGTGTGGTAGGAGTGAGTCAAGAGGAGGCTGCCAAGATAATTAGAGGGATAGAGGGGATAGCTTTCCTATGAGGAAAGACTGAGAGAATTTGATTTATTCAGTC